GGTATGTGAATATATATCATTGAATATGTAGCACGGTGGTGGTTTTTACAGCATTTTAAGTTCTGTTGATCTTCAAAGGTTTACAGGCAAAGATATACGACTGGGAGTCTTAAGACCAAGAAGACCCACTACATGAAGAGATGCAACATGTGGCTCTGTGGCGCAATGGATAGCGCATTGGACTTCTAGACATACACAAAAGAGGTGATTCAAAGGTTGTGGGTTCGAGTCCCACCAGAGTCGATATTTAAAGGTTTACAGTGTTAAGTGGATGAAAAGTCATTCAACCATGATCTCCCTTGACACCAGCCTCCTCTGCACTGCCTGTTCAAGGCAGGAACTTTGTGTTGTTATTCCACCTCAGGGTTCTGTACAAAAGGCACGAATGCAGAATGGTCAAGCGACCTATGACATGTAATGTACTGTGGGTGCGTTAGTTGTTGACATTCTGGTATGCCATGTCAACTTAGGCCTGTTACAAAATACACTTTGGTTTTCACAGGAAATGTACAGTGTGCATACAGTCTCTTTCAAAATAAATGCAGTACTTTGGTACAACGCCACAAGATGATGTTTTTTCCCTCAACAATAAACACAGTTGGTTACATTTAGCCAACACATGCACATGGTTGGTGGTTGGCATGTGGTTGGGTTTAGAATAAAAAAACAGGGTTTGGCTTTGCAATCTCACAGGAAGCAAACACCGGCGTCTGGGGTGAAAGGCTGGGGTTGCTGGACCCATTCACCACTCCTCCCACTCGCCCTAATAGAACTTCTGCCCCTTTAACTTTCCTTGTTATCCCACCACATTTCCCCCTGATGCTGCTGGCCGCCATTAAACAATAATGGCGACTGGTGGCATATCATGCCAATGTGAAAGGACAGTTTTTTCATTGGCGTCTGATGCCAGAAGTCATCACGCCAAGTGCCCGTATTTGACCACTTTGGAGTGAAACCTGGTCGAAATTTTCAAGCAATACTGGGAGTCTTAAGACCAAAAAGACCCACTACATCGGAGGAAGCAACATGTGGCTCTGTGGCGCAATGGATAGCGCATTGGACTTCTAGACATTCACAAAAGAAGTGATTCAAAGGTTGTTGGTTCGAGTCCCACCAGAGTCGATCTTTAAAGGTTTACAGTGTTAAGTAGGTGAAAAGTCATTTGACCATGATCTCCCTTGACACCAGCCTCCTCTGCACTGCCTGTTCAAGGTAGGAACTTTGTGCTGTTATTCCACCTCAGGGTTCTGTACAAAAGCAGAATGGTCATGAACTTTCTACATCAACCTATGACATGCAATGTACCGTGGGTGCGCTGGTTGTTGACATTCTGGTATGAAATGTTAATTTAGGCCTGTTACAAAATACACTTTGGTTTTCACAGGAAATGTACAGTGTGCATACAGTCTCTTTCAAAATAAATGCACTACCTTGGTACAACTCCACAAGCTGATGTTTTTTCTCTCAACAACAAACACAGTTGGTTACATTTAGTCAACACATGCACATGGTTGGTGGTTGGCATGTGGTTGGGTTTAGAAAAAAAAACAACAGGGTTTGGCTTTGCAATTTTACAGGAAGCAAACACCGGCGTCTGGGGTGAAAGGCTGGGGTTGTTGGACCCATTCACCACTCCTCGCACTCGCCCTAATAGAACTTCTGCCCCTTTAACTTTCCTTGTTATCCCACCACATTTCCCCCTGATGCTGCTGGCCGCCATTAAACAATAATGGCGACTGGTTGCGTAACATGCCAACGTAAAAAGACAGTTTTTTCATTGGCGTCTGATGCCAGAAGTCACCGACCAAGTGCCCGTATTCGACCACCTCGGAGTGAAACCTGGTCGAAATTTTCAAGCAATACTGGGAGTCCTAAGTCCAAAAAGACCCACTACATCTGCGAAAGTAACATGTGGCTCTGTGGCGCAATGGATAGCGCATTGGACTTCTAGACATACACAAAAGAAGTGATTCAAAGGTTGTTGGTTCGAGTCCCACCAGAGTCGATCTTTAAAGGTTTACAGTGTAAAGTGGGTGAAAAGTCATTCGACCATGATCTCCCTTGACACCAGCCTCCTCTGCACTGCCTGTTCAAGGCAGGAACTTTGTGCTGTTATTCCACCTCAAGGTTCTGTACAAAAGCAGAATGGTCATGAACTTTCTACATCAACCTACGCCATGCAATGTACCGTGGGTGCGTTGGTTGTTGACATTCTGGTATGAAATGTTAATTTAGGCCTGTTACAAAATACAGTTTGGTTTTCACAGGAAATGTACAGTGTGCATACAGTCTCTTTCAAAATAAATGCACTACCTTGGTACAACTCCACAAGCTGATGTTTTTTCTCTCAACAACAAACACAGTTGGTTACATTTAGCCAACACATGCACATGGTTGGTGGTTGGCATGTGGTTGGGTTTAGAAAAAAAAACAACAGGGTTTGGCTTTGCAATCTCACAGGAAGCAAACACCGGCCTCCCGGGTGAAAGGCTGGGGTTGTTGGAACCACTACATCAACACAGCAACATGTGGCTCTGCAGCGCAATGGATAGCGCATTGGACTTCTAGACAAACACAGAAGGAGAGATTCAAAGGTTCTGAGTTCAAGTCCCACCAGAGTCAATCTTCGGCAGCAGAGTGAGTGCTGAAGGTTCACGTGTGGTATTTTGAAATCTCAACCACACAAAGAGATAGAGCTGCTGCAGCCATGCCAAGTCTTTCCTAACTGTTTCAGTTATGTTGTATCAAATGAACAGTGACCTCTTCTCTGGCAACAAGCCATGAGTTCTTCATTCATGTTTCCAGTTTCTCTGAGGGTTTCCTTTTGTTATGCTGATCTTAAAGGGAAACACCAGTATTTTCAACCTGGACCTTATATTTAATTATTTATTCATTATTTATTATGCAATAGAACCACTCAGGGCACCTGCGCCCCATCAATTTACATCCATTTAAAGTGCTTGCTTTTGCCACTCACAGACTCAGGTCGTTATTATGAGTGTCTTAAATTTTGCGGAAAGGATCCTGCAGAGAAATGAAGTGCTTTGTTTTGTACCTTTTACTTGTTCCAATTAGTTTTGTGTTTAAGTTCTACTAACAGGAATTCTCTTTCTGAAATCTCACAAGGCTAAAGACGACGAGAAGTTAATGTCGGCTGAACATGCAGCTGATTTTGACATTATGAAAAAGTCTGTGAGTCACTTAGAATCATAAACATGGGAAAATCCAGCCTGGTAAGATCACCCTGATGGCGTCAGCTCAATATTCTGTTTTGGACTTTATGCTGCCCCAAACTCCTTCCAGAAATTAAAATCCAATCAGGGATAGTTGACAACATAAGTAGCCAATCAGGGTCTGCGTTGTAGTTCATGAGGTAACATGTAGCCTGCAGCTTAATGGTGTCTCCTGAAGCAACGAGCGCTAACTCTAACGTTAGTCGAATAAAGAAATAGAGCGAAAAACAACAATTAAACAAGAACATGAACATGCACTTACCGTGTTTCTTACAGGAAGAGATGTTTTCTTCCAACTGGATTTGACAAAAGCTTGACTTTCAACTGGCTCCGTTGGTGTTGATGAAGATGATCCCTGGTGTTTTGTTGCACTGATTGGCTGAAGAAGTTTGTCTGTCAAGGAGAGTGCTCCTGTCCACTGTAAATGTTTGGGACTGATACAGAGAGTGAAACAGAATGTTAAGCTAAGTTAAGCGTTAAGTTTTTCAAAATGCACTCTGGCATCTTATTTACCCTTAAAAAGTGTTTTTTTAGATTAAATTTTACAGATAAATGGGAAATTGTGAAGTTGAAAATAGTAGTAGTTGTTGGTCATTAGTATTAAGTAGAAACAGAATACTTTGCACCTGTATCATTAAAATTTAGAGAGAAAAATATTTCTGTTTCATGCTACTTTATACTTCTGCTCGTCCTCTACATCTCAGAGGGAAACACTGTGCTTTTTACTGCACTACACTTATTTGTCAGCTTAAGTTACTCTGAAAACTCAGATTAATAATACAAAATATAATCAACTACTAAATGATGATGTATAATTATAGATTAAACTATCCAGCAGTAAATATATTTAAAGCTTTTACCATTGAAGTGATTACTGGTGCGCTTTCCCTCTTCCATGCGATCACACAATATGTGTTGCTTGAATGACACAGAGGACCTAAAACAAACAGCTTCATATTATTTTCAATTTTATTTTATTTTTAATATATTCTACTTAGATCCAGGGCTATTCATAAAACATTTGGGGCTGAAACCTCGGATGCCCAGGCCTAAAAACACCACTGGTAAATAATTAACATAACTATGGATATATGATATTTAGTATTTACTTAAGGTTTCATCATATTTATTGTATATTTTTGTACTTCTAATCGGTGCTGATTCTTCCTTGTGAAGCACCTTTGTTTTGAAAAGTATGTATAAGGTTCATAATTATAATTCTACTTCTACTTCTGCTAATTATTATTATCATTTCAAATGCTGCATCATGATGTTTGCTTGGTGTGTTTTCTAAATTAAAAATGAATCTACATGTTTACAGGTCTCAGACTGATGGAGAGGTTTTATGGGTTTATGGTTTAATGGCAAAGGTAAAGAAGGCCATGAGGGCCGCGTCCCATTCCAGTAACAGCTCCACTTCTATGCTTCCTTGCCTTTGTGCAAACAAACTTTGAGCGATGAGGAAATGACAGAAAACAGATAAAAGAATGAGAAGGTGAATGAAAGTATCTGGAAGATTGAAAGTCACCTTCACTCTGTGTGAGGAGGTGAAGTAGGACACGTCAGAGGAGGTTTATAAAGAAAAAGGGACGCGGGGAAGAAGGAGCCGAGCTAGTGGCGCGTGATGCAGGTGAGCAGCTGCAGGTGTGTGTGTGTGGAAAGGTTCGGAGGGGGCGTGGCTTATAAACTACCTGCAGCAGGTAGGTTTGTGTTACCTGTAGTGTTTTCCTGCTGCAGACTGAAGGTTTTTCACGGCTGCTGCTGAGTTTTATCTCTCAGCTCTTATCAGCTGACCACCAGCCCAAAACTCACCTGGATCACCGGAAGTGTTTCTGACTGTCAGAATAGTTTTGTTTTTACCCCAACAAACTGGACATGTTTTTCTCTTGACTCGTTTCCTGAAATGAGCTCATCCACCGGCCGGTAAGTGAGTCATCTTGCCGACGTTAATTAGATCACGTTCACCGCCTCACACACCGTTTAAACTCACCGTGAGTTTGTTTTCCGGTTTGTGAGGTCTTACTGAGTGTTGTTTTGTTGTTTTGTTGTTTTATCTGCATGTAAACAAGTTTCAGATGTCACCTGAACCGAAACTCTCATCACCTGTTTGTTATTTTAGACACAAGTTGTTTTGAGGAAACATGCAGCTTAATGTGAGACTGTGAGAGTAGTAATTTACACCGCTGTGCTGCTCAGGAACCGGTTTTTATTCTGTACCTGGATACTGTAGGCCTGTGTGTGTGTGTGTGTGTGTGTGTGTGTGTGTGTGTGTGTGTGTGTGTGCGCGCGTGCGTGCTTGCGTGTGTGTGTGGTAGAGTCACTCACACACCGGGCTGTCAGGAGTGTATCCAGTGTCCTGTGTGCCCTCGGGATATGAGTTTTAAGACTTGTGTGTGTTTGGTGTCCATGTGTCCCTCTGTTGCCATGGTTACGGAGACAGGCAGGCATCATGCATGCTGGTCTGGTGCACATGGTGCAGGAGTCACTTCAAAATGTAGATCTTTTTTATGATATCCTTAAGGTTTAGGATGCTGGTCGGACAAAACCAGATGTTGTGATCTGCATGTTTCACTGTTTTCTGATATTTTATAGGCTCATATAGTTTCAGGTCAGGCTGTGATTGGATAGTTGTATCAAACGATGTAACACAGAAGACACAAAGGAGGACACAGTTCTGTTTAACAACACAGCTCACAGCGTCTGAGCCTTATTTCAGTTTTACAGTGGACATTTGTAGTTAGTTAACTGAGCTGGTAAACCCTTTTGTTTAAGCTGCATTTATCTGAACTTCAGAAGGCCTTCGTGTCGTGCACTGAGAGCTTCATTCTGCAGCTTTCTTACTCTTAAAGCAACCTAATTAAGTCTAGAAGTTGATCTGTTATGTAAGGGGTAATATCTTGTATGTAGGAGATAGTAGAATATATGATGATAAACTTTTTGGCCAATATTGTTTGTATCAGCTGATACAGACTGGTGAATGGTGGTGTCCATCAGTCTCCAGGTAGCTGTACCTTTAATACCTCTGCTTGCGTTTGACTTCTGAGAGCTGCTTTATGGTATCTCTGGAGTTTTGCATTAATTAGATGGAGCAGTTTCTGAACCACTATTTTGCACAATTCCAGCTGGAAAAACAGCGATGGGACGCTAGAAAACACCCACATTTTGTGTCTAAAAGCAGCTGGAAACACAGCGACAACTCACTGGATCACAACTGGTTTTGCTCTTTGCTGGTATCGACAGGTCGGCAGGTGTCTCGTCTAGGTGTCACTTTAGAAAAGCTGAAATGATGCATATGAAAAATGCCAGTGTAACGTATTTGTGGTTTGCAGAAACCTACAATGCCAACATTTTTGCTTTTCAATTGAAAACAAAACATCTGAACACTTCATGTTGGACTGTAGGAAACTGTGATGGGCTTTAAATCTGAACATTTTGTGGCTTTGTGAAGCTGCAGTATGTTTCCTTTAATTGTTAGGTCCCAGGTTGTAACCCAGCTCATTATCTGTGTCCACCACCTCAAACAAACAAACAGGTTGATCCCTGACTGTGTTCAGGAGTTTGTTTTACACCACTGTTGCAGATGTTTCTGTTTATTCCTCTTCATCAGTTACATAGACCTGTAGACAGCTGATGCTGAAGTGCAGTGTGTCCACCTTGACTTGAATTTAGTGCAACTCAACCAAACAGTTGACTGACAGAAAATAAATTCACAGCAGTACTGATACTCCGTTAGCACTGTGTTTCTAGCTTCTTCAGTATGATCATTTTCTGCTTTCATCTGTTTTATATCATGAGAACAGAATTTCTGTGAGGTTTGGGATGTTGGTTGGACAAAGCGAGATTTGTGATCTGCATGTTTCACTTTTCTCTGATATTTTAGCTGGTAAAACCTTTTAAGCTGCATTTATCTGAACTTCAGAAGGCCTTTGTGTCGTGCACTGAGAGCTTCATTCTGCAGCTTTCTTATTCGTAAAACAACCTAATTAAGTCTAAAAGTTGATCTGGTTATCTGGTATGCTTTCATTTGATAAGTTGAAGTAATAAAAATACTGAAATGATAAAGCCTACACTTCAGCTAACCTTCTACTTGGGCATTGTGTTCGAGGAACATTTGTGTCACAGGGTAATTTTTTTGGTCCGACCCTTGTGGCTGCAGCTTCATCCAATACAGCGACCACTGTGTCATGCACACAGGTCACGTCCCGCATGGGCTCTATGAGTGGAGGGTTACGGTGTCACTGAGCTCAGGTGAACCACCCTGCAGCTTTTACAATGTAACTGTGTCACATAGATCGTATAACTGTGGCTACAGTTTCACTACAGTGACCTGAGCTGTGCTGAATGTTTAGTGTCACCTGAGAGGCTGAGTTATGTTTGACCCCGTTCCCACCTGAAACTGAAACAATCGTGATCACTGAACATGTGACAATAGAAATAAAGTTCTTGTTGTTTCAGATATTGGATTCATTTGACCTGCTTCAGATTCTGAGCAGAGCATTTTGCAGCTGCACACTGTGTACCAGTAAATGTGGTCTGTAAAGTGTCAGAAAATTGTACAAAATGCTCATCACCTGCTTCAACAACCATGCCACGTTCAAAGTCTCTTAAATCACCTTTCTTCATCGTTCTGAGGCTCAATTTGAACTTCAGCAGCTCGAACTTCAGTTGCTGCCACGTGATTGGCTGATTAGCTATTTGTGTTAACAAGCAGTCGAACAGCTGTACCTAATTAAGTGGCCGGTGAGAGTAAATGTATAAAACTGCTGTTTTCATGCATTTTTGAAGACAATACAAGTCAACACAAACTCTGTGTGCCAATCAATGAATCCTTTGACAGCTGCAGTGATAATGAGCCCTGCGACGAATCTGCTTGAAAACTGTTGAACAAATAGTGAACACTTCTGAGAGGAAGACAGGTGTGGGAGGAAGAGGAGTTAGAGATGAAGAGCTGCAGCAGCAGAGAGGAGAAAAGCAGTGAAAGAGGATGCAGAGCAGGTTGTGAGTTGATCTGAGTGTTTTGAAAGGAGTTAATGTGTTTTATTAGTGTTGCTGAGGCTGCTGGGCTTCATTATGACTCAGATTACCTTCATTATGTCCCAAGGCTCCACCCCCCCCCCCCCCCCCCATGGAGGCAGTCTGCACTAACTCTTTGCTAGCTAACATCTGCAGGCTAATGTCCCCTCTGACAGCCATAACAACACATAATGTTATTACACCATTAAATAGCCTGCTTCCTTCAGCTTTATGACTGCTGTTACCTGCAGCACGTCAGCCCTCTGCACAGAAACACTTCACTGCACTGCCGAATGGGACCGAAGAAGGCCGAGCAGGGCCAGTCTGGCTTCCCTAGCAAAGTTTACTGTCAGGTAGACGGCACTGATACCTTGTTCACGTTGCAAAGTAAACAACCAGAAAGTTTTTGTTGAACGTGTTTGATTGGTGAAGGCTGGAATTATGGTACAGTTTGCAGGTTAGCAGCAACAGACTATAAGTATTTTTCAATGGAAGCTGGTAACATGAAGCTACAGACTGACGCTCAACACTTTAGGAAGTCTGTGATCAGGCACGTGCAGCTGATGGAGAAGATGATGATGATGGTGTTGAAGGTAGAGCTGAAATCCACAAACAGGATCCCGGCGTAAGCTGCTGGGGGTGAAGGATAAAATGGAGGGTTATGTTGACTGCATCGTCCACAGACCTGTTGGTTGTGTAGGCGAACTGCAGGGGGTCCAGAAGTGGGTCGGTGGGATCGAACAAGGTGCTCAAAGGACTTAATAACCACAGAGGTCAGGGGGACAGGTCTGTAATCATTCAGTCCTGTGATCCTTGTTTTCCGGGGGACATGGATAATGGTGGAGGTTTGGAAGGTTTTCATGGCATGTCTTCAGCAAGGTGTTAAAGATGTCCGCGGACACCAGAGACAGCCAATCAGCACAGGGCTTCAGAGTGGAGGCAAAGACAGAGTACAGAGAGGGCCGTCGTCGTGGTGTAGGGGGAGAAGGAGGGGGCCTCTGGGATGAGCAGTTGCAGGGGGCTCCAGACCCTGGTTTATCTGGTTTGCTGGGTGCACGCTGCAGATGGAGTAGGGATCTTTGGGTTTGCAGTTAGGACACACACAAAGCTAGGTGCCTGCAATCAGGTGTGGTGAGTGCTGTGGCAAATGTGCACGTCAAATTTGGGTAGAAACGTGTGGTCGTGACAACACTGAGCAGGAGAACTAACTATTCCTCATGGACTAAAACCTCGATTATATTTGGAGAGATGAGGCTTTGGACTGTTCATGGTGTGGTTTTCAAGAAAATTGGAATAGATTAAGTGCCTCCGGGCGCGTTGAGACTAATTTGGCAATAAACTGATACCTGACTCTGTATCCAGTCAGTCTGCATCAGTCAGGTTCACACAGCTAGACGCCTGACAGCTGCAGCGCAGAGTCCACTATTGATCCTCAAAGCCACGTCTCTGTGAAGCACAAAACGCAAGATGAAGAAAAGTCTTTGTTTCTCCCCACCAGTTGCTGGAGTTTGTCCAATGTGTTGCACAGTGAATGCACATTGTAGAGAAATATTCATGGTAATGGTGTGCGAAGTACGCTCTTGTGGAGGTGCACAAGCTCATCGGCTCATTTCCCTCTCCTTCGTCGTTTCACTGCTTTGACCAGAACATCCATTAATTCCACTGAGGAAGAGAGAAAAGTGGGAAATAAAACTGTTGGGGTTGTTTCCCTGGTGCTCATAAGGTCCTCTCTGGGTGCTGTGGTAAAACACTGAATCAGCAAGCAAAACAGGGCAATACATGGTGGCCATTGGCAGCTCCATCTCGATCTTAAATGAACAGTTTCAAAATAGAATAGAAAAGAACTTTATTTATCCCAGGAGGGAAATTCAGCTGTTCAGCAGCTCAAAAAACAAAAAGACAAAAAACAA